TATTGAGCAAATTCTCAACAGTCAGCTTATTCTCATTTGGGCACTTCAGTGTTATTTGGAGAACATTTATATTTTGTTTAAAATTTGTTCAGTTTGGAGTACATCTGACAATGCTATGGGCTTACTTCTGGCTCTGCATACAGGGATGACTCCTAGCAGTGTCTGGGGGATCCCTATGGGGAATCAGGGGGCAATCCCGGGTCAGCTACATGCAAGGCAAGTGTCCTGCCTACTGTTCATTATATTACTACCTTTCTCACTATCCATACCTACAAGCCCATCAAACATAGTCCTTCCTTAGGTTACTCCTCTATGCCTACTTACAAAGGAACTGGAAGCCCATCTATGGCCTGATTACACAGAGACCAGGAAGATGTTTCAGAATTCCATCTTTTTTGTTTTCTACCAGACTATGCTGACAGGGAAGAAGCATCAACCTCCAAGCAAAAGGTCTTCCACCACGTAATCTCAGACTCACAGTCCTCCCAGAAACGGGGAGTAAACATGGTTTTATCTAAAATTTTGTTTAAAATGCCTTACAATATGAGAAATTTTATAGCCTACATCATAACAAAACAAGTAATGAGTGTTTAATCATATTCAAAGTGCCTACTGCTTTAAAAATATTTGGAAAATGTGGTCTAATTCATGATGACCCACCATCTGCATTCTAAAATGTCACTTTAAGACAGTGTTTGTTCAGGATAACGGAGCACCAAATGGTAGAAGCATGGCATGGCAGTACAGAAAGAAAAGACTCCAAATCCTAAAATCTCCCTTGAGTAACTTCCAAGTCAAATTGAGAGAACTATCACCCAAAAATCAAGTAAGTAGTATATGACAGACTAGTTGTTCAAAACTTTCACCATTGGTATGGCTTTGCCTTTTCGCACTAGATCTATGAAAGAAGAGGCTAAATCATCTAAGATAATAGAAAGTAAATAATTTTTTGCTGCTGTCAACTTAGACAATTTGCCTATCACTTATCCTTCTAGAATCTTACAAAGAATTTGTAAACAGTATAACATCATTAACGTAAATACCATTGTGACATAATCAAGCTCCCCTGTACTAATGACTGTTTTCTATCTTAAAATTCCATCTTTTATTAATTCTTTTAGTTGTAATATATGTGTGTGAAGCAATTCAAAGATTTTTAATATTTAATGTAGTGTTATTACTTTCTTAAATATAATCTCTCCAAAAGAGGATAAAATGACACTTCCCCAGAGAAATAATGAATTTCTTTGTTTGATTTTTTTGGTTTGGGGGCAACACCCAGCAACGTTTAGGGCTTACTCATGGCTCTACGCTCAGGGATCAATTCCTGGAAGTGCTCAGGGAGGCTGAGGGTTGAACCCAGTTGGCCACATGCAAGGCAAGCACCCTACCCACTGTATTACTATTCCAGTCCCTAACAATTTTTTTTGAAAAGCAGATTCCTAAATCTAGTTTTTATGTCTCTGCTCTAATACTGGAACCTATGTTCCGAAAGAATAAAAATGTTTGTGTGCCATATGTATGTGTTTGCATGCAGATGAATATTAGTTACTGTTAATGATCCTCAATGACAAATCCCAGAAGAAATGTTTGTGACATAAGAATTCTAAAGAAAACTCTGAAACTCTTAAGCTAGATAAACACAAAACTATGAGTATACAAATATTATTTGCATTACTAAACTTCATATTATTTGTTCTCCAACTAAACCATTAATGATCAAGATGATGCTCAGTTCATAATTTAACACTTATTTTCTGTTTTAAAGTAATGTTGAACATGATACTAGGAGTTAAGCAGATTAAACTATAACCAGTCATGCAAACACATTCAAATTTCATTCTTTCACAAAGTAAAAGGAAACAATATAACAATCTGTAGAAAAGTGTATTTCCAAAATACTTTAAAATTTATAATGAAACTATGTTTAATATGGTGTTGTGTGGGAATATTTTTAATTTAAGGAAGTAAAGGCAAATCATTTGAAAGCTAAAGTTTACATAGCACTCGTGTAAATTTCTTTGTGGGGGAAAAGGGGGGACACACCAGACTGTGCTCAGAAATCTCTCCTGGCAGGGTTCAGGGAACCAAATGTAGTACCACAAATCACAACTGGGTCAGTTACATGCAAGGCAGGTGCCCTACTATGTCTCTGACCCGTCAGGTAAAATTCTTATTCTAAATTTTATAATTAAATTTCTGGCTGTCTGATGGAGTTATCTAACCTGACTCATTGTTTTATATGAACAGGCTACTGTTTTGCCTCTGTCTATTTTCACTACCACATAGTAGTATTTTAGCAGGACAGGTAAGTGCACCTCTAGATTCTCCCTTCCAGTTGCAGGGCTTTGAGGGGAATATCCTGGGACTGATCTAAAACCCTGTGATTTCCACTTGCGCTTAGAGGATGTGAGGCATATGAAGTAATCATATGGATGCCTTAGTGTCCACGTGATACAGGGTGTCCGTGCAGCCACTGGGGCTGGGCTGAGTTCTCGCCAGCACATGACTGAAGGGGCAGGTTCCTGGGTTCCGTCAGCACAACTGGATTGCGGGCGGGAGGGGGGTTGAGGAGCAGGTTTTAATTGGCAGTGGCTGAAGTGAATTCCCACTGTGCGACAGGTAGATGAGGGTACAGAGGGGTTCCCCCAGTGTCTGTGAACTCCCTAGGGCTGGGGCTGAGTTCTCCCCAGTGTGAGGCAGGAGGGCTAAAAGCTACAATGTAAACAGGGATGCACATGCAATAAAATCAAGCAAGGAAGATACATACAGGGATCGATTGCATTTGAAGATATTAGTGGGAATTAATCATTTCAAAATATATATATGTATATGTACATGTATATACATGGAACTACACATAAGCATCATGTGTGAATATACAGGTAAATATTTCTGAGCTCTGAGTTAAAACAGTTCATGAGGAAGGAGCAAACTTAACACCTGGACTGTGCTCTCTAGGGTCATTTCCCATGGGGTATGTCACAAGGACATGGATGTCAACTTGAAGGGGTTCATACTGGCTAAATATGCTATAGTTGGAGCACCAAAATCATTCTATAAATAAAGTCAATGATAAAAACAAGAAATTAGGCTATTCAATAATTTGTTGATGTGCATTTGGGTAGTTTTCACTTTGGGGCTTTGAGCATGCTTATTAATATAATTTGGTTGGTATACATCATTATTTCTATAAAACTTTACAAATATTGAGACAAAAGTTTTAAGTTTGGACATATAAATATATTCATCTTCAGCTGGCAATGACCAGTAAATTTCCAAAATTCTTGTACTAACTTACATTGCCCTGAAAGCAGTTACTCAGGGTCCTGTTTGCTCTACATTCTCAAGAACTCTTTTAATTAACTCCCAAAATTGTCTTAATTAAAATTAAATTACTCAATATTTATTGATCCCCAGTCTTTAAAAGTTCTAAAATGAGAGTCAAAGGTATTAAAGCTTAGCTTAAGTTTTTAGGACAATAAATAAATAAATTTTAGGCAAATTACATATATTATTGTTAGAATTTTCTGATAGGGAAGTAACCATTTTCCCCCTTTGTTATTAATATAGTTGTCAGAAACCACCATAAGGGGACCAATTCTCCATAAAAATTAAATCACTATTTTATTTCTGATGGTTCTATTGTCCACACTGATGATTTCCAACTCAGAGGTACTAAATGGTCTAAAATCTGAGAATATTTCAAATGAAGCACTTATGCTCAGCCAGAATTAAATGCATCTAGGCGCTTCCATATCACAAAGTATTGATCAGTGTCCTTGAACATAGTTTGTGTTAACATTTCAAACAATGTTACATTCCTTGGGGTGTTGATAGCCAGTTTCATGTATTCTAGTTATGGTTGAGAAGTGGTAATTAGGAGCTCTCCCAAGTGTGGTAGAATTAAAACATATTTTTATGGAGCCCATGAGTTGCAATGATATTTTTTCTACCATAATACTAGCTATAATTTCAGTGATTGGTCTGGCTGTATTCCATTATTAGAATACAAAGTATTTAACTCTATAGATACTTGTTAATACTGCATCTTAACAAATTATCAATGAGGTTATTTTTGTTTGTGTGGAAAAAATCAATAAGCAATACTCAAATAAGTAATATCTCAATGGAAGACTCAGAAATTATCACAGAGAAAATGACTGCAACAAACAGGGTTTCAGATCAGTGGTTAAGGATTTTGTATTCACTCTTTCATTGATGACAATGAAGAAATCAAATAATATTTAAAACATCAAACTTGGAAAATATTTAATATCTGAAAAACTTATGGCAGAACTCCTAGACTAATTGCTGTTGTTGTTTTTGTTTAGGAACCATACTTGGTGGTGCTCAGAGATCACATTAAGAGGTGTTTGGGGGACCATATGGGGTGCCGGGGATCAAGCCCATTTTGGCCACATGCCAGGCTAAATGCCCCACTCGCTGTACTATCTCTCCAACCCCCAATTTCTGAATAAGAATCTAAACTAGAGAGTTGAGTAGAAAGCGGTGCAGGGACAAGTGTGTCTGAGGGCCTTTACCAGTACAACAAACAGAGGTGAGGAGGAGAAAGGGTGCCACCCACACTTAGCGGGCAGAGAGCAGTAATGCTGCCAACCATCAAGTCATACACAGAACAGCCCTCCTCCCTTCCTATGGTGACCATAGGGCTAAGGGTGGGAAACTGTCCTAGGAACTTGTATTATTGTTTGGAAACAATAAACAAAACAAAAAATAAGGAGGAGTCAGATGGTGGGCCAGACAGAAAAGAGAATAATGGAAAATCCCAAATTAGTTTGAAAATCAGTTCCTTGGGTGGAAATTAATTGAAAGGAAGGAAGGGATTTCCTCTGTTCATCTTCCCCTAGAGGACAGATGAGGCAACTTTTTGAAATATTTTCCAAGAGAAACATACATGGGCTAAGTACATCTAAACTATATTATACACAAAACAAGTCAAGAATAAAGTATCTTTTTCAAAATCCGACAGAACTGACCGTGGAGCAATGGTCTTTCAACAAAATAGGATACTGTATTATTGCTTCAAAAGCCGACAACGTGATCTTGATAAATTCTTCAGATGCCGTAGGTCCTAGGAATTATAGGTTATTATTATAGCTATGTGTATTCACATTAAAAACTGTCTTATCCAAGTCCCTCAAATATGTAAAATGTCCCATGGATTACTCACCCATAGCTCCTTCTATGTTAGTTTCACCGCAGTCTATTGACCAAATATGATTCTGTTAAAAAATCAAAATTTCAATAAATGGAGAGTTCAAAACAACTGTGAAATAAAATACAGATAATGTTCACCCAAAATTATACCCATTGTCCTTCATGAAATAACTCAGAGAAGGCATTAAATATTTATGTATTATGAACACGATAATCACATTTTAAAGATATGATCACATAGTACTCAGTTATCACAAGCTATAGTTTTAAGCATATAAATCACTACAACTGAAAATTCATGTGAGAATAAAGTCAATAGTAATAAAAGCCCAAGAAGGTCAGCCTGAAAAAGTGAGGATAATACCATTGATACATAACCATTTCCAGCAGCATTGCTATACCCATCTTACAAGTTAGCAATGGTGACACCTACTCATGAGATACAGTCATTGAGCTTCCCTGAATGCCATCCCACTATCATACAGCAGTCAAAGTCCTGTCCAAATTTCACCTCTAAGTCCCTTGGAGATACCATTTTTCCCCAAGTCTAGCCCAATCAGCTCTCCCACACTCTTTTGCTGCCATACCTCCCTGAGCAGGAAGATGCCAATAACTGATGGAGAGACAGACCTGAGCAGCTAAGGTATGAGTTCCCTGGGTGAACTTCCTGGTCCCTGAATGCCGCAGAACAGAAGAGGATCTGCGGACATTTGTGAATGAAACACCCACTGCTATTATGAACAATCACAGGCACAGCAGCCATGTTAGTGAGGTGTACAGACAATGCAATGGAGCACTTGCCCCTAGCACACAAAACAGTACAGATATACTCTAAATAGAATAACACATAGAAAATAAAACGTAAACCAATCCTCAAAAATTAAGCAAGTAATAGTCTAGCATAGAAAATGGGTCTACTCAGGCCCACTGGTTTTACTTAAAAATTCTCTTATGAGAATTTTTAAAATAGAGACTGGGATAGTTCTACAATGATCAAATAACAACTTTAATACTATTATAAACTATTATACCTCAAAACATAATTTTTAAAAGAGTTTTTTTAAGGATGATATGAAAAGGTCTCCATATTTTTAAATTAAAATAAAAAAGCAAAACCTTTCTTTATAAAAGATTCAATTTGAGCAAGAATCAGTTGATTAACAAAAAGAAACAATAAAAGGAAACAGAATCTTAAAAGTAGAATTTTTAAAAATGAATGTAACAAAATAAATGAATATAAATGTAGATTTTATGTCATAAAGAAAACCATTAAAGTATGAATGATTCTCAAAAAATTAGAAATTGAGCTCCCATTTGATCCAGCAATACCACTCCTGGGAATATATCCCAGAGAGGCAAAAAGGTATAGTCGAAGTGACATCTGCAATTGACTGTTTATTGCAGCACTCTTTACAATAGCCAGAATCTGGAAAAAACCTGAGTGCCCGAGAACAGATGACTGGTTAAAGAAACTTTGGTACATTTACACAATAGAGTACTATATAGCTGTTAGAAAAGACGAAGTCACAAAACTTACATACAAGTGGTACTACATGGAAAGTATCATGTTAAGCGAAATGACTCAGAAAGAAAGGGATAGACATAGAAAGATTGCATTCATCTGGGGAACATAAAGTAACAAAATAGGAGACTAACACCCAAGAATGGCCGAGATTAGTACCAGGAATTTTACTCCATGGCTTGGAGGCCAACCACATATACTAGGGGAAAAGGGAGCTCAGATAAAAAAGGGAACACCAAATAAAGGTGTTGGGAGGATCCTCCGAGGATGGGAGAAGCATGCGGAAAGTAGACTATAGACCAAACATGATTGCCACCCATTGCCTCTTTTGCAAACCACTACACCCAATAAGAGAGAGAGAACAAAAGGGAATACCCTGCCACAGAGGCAGGATGGGACGGGGGGATGGGGGGTGGGAGGGATACTGGGATCCGTGGTGGTGGGAAATGGGCACTGGTGGAGGGATGGTATTTGATCATTGTATAATTGAAACCCAAGCACAAAAATGTGTAAGTCTGCAACTGTACCCCATGATGTCTCACTATTAAGAAAATTTTTTAATAAAAAAAAAGAAAAAGAAAACTGTTAAGTCAACCATTCAAGTTAAGTAGTAAAACATTGCTAATTCTGAGACTGAAGCAATAGTACAGTAGTATGGCATGTGCCTTGCACACAGCTGTCCCGGTTTCAATTGCAGCATCCCATATGATCCCCCAGGGCCCACCAGGAATGATACTTGAGCACAGACACAGGGGTAAACCCTGAGCCCAGCAAGATGTGGACCTAAAACAAAACAAAACAAAACAAAACAAAAACAAAAAACCTAATTCTTTGCATGCATTTCCCCATCCCACCTGCTATCATCCCTCCTTAGATAACCATGATGATGAATGCATCACTTGTGACTGATAGTTTCACCATATGTCCTAGAAGTGTATACTGCTGAGAATGATCTCATTCTCTCATTCACAATATAAAGAAACATAATGCTTAAATAACAAATACCCAAAGACAATGGAAAAAAAACAAGATGATCACTGGTATTTAGTAGGAGACATGCCACTTGAGGGGTTGGGGGACAGGACAGGGAGTGGGTGGATCTCTATGGTGGAAGGAAGCATTAAACTGAGGAGGTGGTGCTGAAAGGTGGTAAAGTAGTATGCATGAAACCCTATCAGTAACAGTATTGTAAACCACCGTGCAAGATATTTATGTATACATAAAATTATTCGTCGCCGATTGCATCGAGCAGGCCCCAGTAACGTCTCCTTCCTCCTAGCCCTGAGATTATATTCAAGGCTCTTTAGGAGAATGAGACCCATCATTGTTACTGGTACTTGGCATATTGGGTACGCCACAGGGAGTTTGCCAGACTCTGCCATGTGGGCAGGCTACATTCAGTAGTTTGCCAGTTTGTCAAAGTAAGAATGAGATGTCATAATAAGATATCGCGCGGCCACAAATGCGGCCGCGCGGTTCCAGGAGCTGCTTTTTATAGTCTCAGAGTCTTGGCCGCTGATGGGATTACACGGTGCCAGGGGGCCAGTTGGTGGGTGTGACCCCCGCCTACTGGAATTTGGAGGATCTGGGTGGAGGATGCTCGACTCCAATCCGAGTAGGCTTGGAGATCTCGGCCCTGGAACCCACGTGGCTTTGTCCCTCTGCCGGTACCTTCAGGTGTACGGAGAGTGGTCTCGGCATGGTGGTGGCTGGTCCTGGAGATCTTCGGCTGCTGGGGCCCTGGCCAGGGCCGGGAGGAAAGCTCAACCCGCTCCCCTCCAAGGGCCCCAGTGAGGAATAGCCAGGTATGGGGGCAGGAGACTGCGCTCTTCTCCTCTGGGAGCTGCTTTTTATAGTCTCAGAGTCTTGGCCGCTGATGGGATTACACGGCACCAGGGGGCCAGTTGGTTGGTGTTTATAAATATATATTTATAAATATACACATATATTTATAAAGTAGCCTCTCATAAAGCAGATTACTGGGAGGAAGACAAATGGAGTGATGGCGGGGGGGGGGGGGAGGGGGCATTGGTGGAAGGAAGTGGACATTGGTGAAGGGACTGGTTTTGTAAAATTGTGTGCCTGAAACCTAACCATAAATAAGTTTGTAATTTCACAGCGACTAAAAAAACAAATCAATTCTTTTTGAAAGTATGTGTTTTTGAATTGGATATTTTTGGACTTCACTGAAATGATAACATACTGAATATAGTTTATAGAAATGGGATAGCACATAACTTAAATGTTGGGAGGGGAAATTTTTTCAAGATTAAAGAAAAATATAATACAATGTTAAGTGGAAAAAAACACAAAACATGCATATGTAATATATATAGTCGCAACCAGATGTATTAATTTCATATGCACATATGGCATATATATGCCTATATGTTCACATATGAATATGTACATAAGTTCATAGTCTTTCTAAACACAAATGCTCATATTAATAGAAAAAACTACAAACAACATGTGCTATCAACAGCTATCTCTGAGTGTGGTGAAGTTATGAGTGATTTTACTTTCTCCAAATCTCATGATTTTAAGGATATACTTATGCTTTTCATATACAAACATAAAAATGCCTTTGAAATGTTTTAAAAATTAAAATTATTTTTTTTAATTTTATTGAATCACCGTGAGAAAGTTACAAGCTTTGGGTTACAAGTTTACAAGTTTGGGTTACAATCACACAATGATCAAACACCCATCCCTCCACCAGTGCACATTCCCCACCATCAATCTCCCCAGTATACCCCCCTTCCCCACCTTCCCCCTGCCTCCATGGCAGACAATATTCCCCATACTCTCAACTTTTGGGCATCCTGGTTTGCAATACAGGCACTAGAGGTTTGGTCCATTATCTACTTTTAGCACACATCTCCCTTCCCAACTGATTCCTCCAGCCATCATTTTCTTTAGTGATCCCTTCTCTATTCCATCTGCCTTCTCCCCTCCGCTCATGAGGCAGGAAATAAGAGAAAATCTTAAAACACATATGCTACATTGAAAATTGAAAACAGAGCACTGAATATTTTTTAGTCTATAAACAAGTCAAAAGTACTAAAAAGGAAGTGAGATGGTAAATAAAAATAAAAAGCAGGTAATATAAATTTTTTATAATAATCTGGCTGAAATGCTTTTGAAAATTTCCAAAATGGATACATAAATTTTGCTGAATAAATATAGTTTGCTGTTGAATAAAACAATTGAAGAGAGGTAACTGGCTAAAATGAGTGTACTTAAAAATAAGTACTTAAAAATAAGTAATAGCTTATATACATGCTAAGAAAAAGACAGTGCTATGGTCCTTCCTATACAATTAAAGAATATATAATAAGAACACAAAGATGGGAACAAAGTTTTTAAGACTAAAATGGTGAAATCACTGCAGAAGTTCCATCTGGAAAGATGGAATACATTTTGATTGTTCATTTGCTGCCTTACTGTACTATTGAACTTCTCTAACCACGAACATGCATTCTGTTTTATTTTAATTTTTTAATGTCATCTGTGTTATTCAGATGGTGTAATTAAAAGCTT